TCCCAGCACTTTGGGAGGCTGAGGCAGGCGGATCACAAGGTCAGGAGTTCAAGACCAGCCTGGCCAACACAGTGAAACCCCACCTCTACTAAAGATACAAAAAATTAGTCAGGTGTGGTGGAGCATGCCTGTAATCCCAACTACTAGGGAGGATGAGGCAGGAGAATTGCTTGAACCCGGGAGTTGGAGGTTGCAGTGAGCTGAGATGATGCCACTATACTCCAGACTGGGCAACAGGGGAAGACTCCATCTCAACAACAACAACAACAACAAAAAAGAGGGACAGGGAGATTTGACTGCAGAAAAATAGAAGGTGATGTGACCATAGAAGCAGGCAAAGATTTAAAGATTCTATGCTGTTGGTTTTGAACATGAAGAAACCCCCATCTCTACTAAAAATAGAAAAATTAGCCAGGCATGGTGGCAGGTGCCTATAATTCCAGCTACTTGCGAGGCTGAGGTAGGAGAATCACCTGAACCCTGGAGGCAGAGGTTACAGTGAGCCGAAATCATGCCACTGCACTCCAGACTGGGCAACAGAGCAAAATTCTGTCTCAAAAAATACATAAATAAATAAACCCTAACGGAGCTTGGCTGACTGGATTTCAAAATTGCTTGAGATTGGTGATTCTTTCTTCCTTCCATTTTCTCCTTTTTGGGATTGGAATGTTTATAACTGTTATCCTATGCCTGCCCCAGGTTGGTTTCAACCCAGTGAAACCCTTTCAGACTTCTGGCCTCCAGAACTGTAAGTTATTAAATTTAAGTCACCCGTATGACAAACAGCAGGCACTGGAATCTGATACACCATCTAATTCAATGACAAAATAATCTACACTCAACTGTCACATAAAAGCCTAACATGTAAACTTAACTTTTCTCATTTTTACATGGTGGGTATGCACTGGAAATAAAAATAATAATAAATTAAACATTGTGATACAGTCATGTGCCTGGCACTTGAAATGCCATCATGCTATAACTGCCTCATTGCAATTTGCAGTGTGGTGCGCAACTGTTGTAAGCAATGAGATGGCCATAAATGGTCTCTGACAACTGCTCTTCCCTGTCATTATAGCACAAAAAATGAATGAGTATAGCTGTGTTCCAATAAAACTTTATTTACAGACACTAAAATTTTAATTTTATACATCCATTTTTACATGTCACAAAATAGTATTCCTATTTTGATTTGTTTTCAACTACTTAAAAATGTAAAAATGATTCTTAGCTCACAGACTATATGAAAACAGGTGACAGATCAGGTGCAGCGACTCATACCTGTAATCCCAGCATTTTGAGAGGCCGAAGCAGGTGGATCACCTGAGGTCAAGAGTTCGAAACCAGCCTGGCCAACATGGCGAAACCCCATCTCTACTAAAAATACAAAAATTAGCCAGGTGTAGTGGTGCCTGCCTGTAATCCATCAGGCATTGTGTGTAAACTCCCGTGGCTGAGACAGGAGAATTGTTTGAAACCCAGAGGCAGAGGTTGCAGTGAGCCGAAATTGCACCACTGCACTCCAGCCTGGGCAACAGAGAGAGACTCTGTAAGAAAGAAAGAGAGAAAGAGAGAACAGAGAGAAAGAGAGAGAGAGAGAGAGAGAGAAAGGAAAGAAAAAGAAAGAAAGAAAGAAAAAAGAAAGAAAGAAGAAAGAAAGAAAAGAAAGAGAAAGAAAGAAAGAAAGAAAGAAAGAGAAAGAAAGAAAGAAAAGAAAGAAAAGAAAAGAAAAGAAAACAGGTAACAAGCTGAATTTGTCCAGGAGCCATTGTTGGTCAACTCCTCATCTATACTTTACACAGAAAATGTTTAGCTGCAAAATGTCAAAGGGCACTTATAACTTAACAGCACCATACTCAATGTTTTGTATCAATTCTCATCTATATCCTCTAAACAATCTTCCGAGATAAATACAATTATTATACTTAAAATACCATATTATACTATAGTATTATTATATTACATTATACAGATGAGGAAACTGGGGCAGAGAAGTTTTCAATATCTTGCCCAAAGGTATTAAACTTCTGCAGATATTGTACATCCAACAGAACGTACTATAATGATGAAAACATTACATATCTGCATTTCTAACAGAGCAGCTACTAATCATATGACTACTGAGCACTTGAAATGTGTAACTAAGAAACTGATTTTTAAATTTTACTTCATCTTAATTTTTATTTTTAATAGCCACATCAGACAGCACAGCTTTCGTGGGAAGAACCAGGGCAGGATATGAAGCAAAAAGAGAATAATTGTCAGGCCAGGCACGGTGGTTCACACCTGTAATCCCAGCATTTTGGGAGGCCGAGGAGGGCGGATCATTTGAGGTCAGAAGTTCGAGATCAGCCTGGCCAACATGGTGAAACACCATCTCTACTAAAAATTCAAAAAACTAGGCGGACGTGGTGGCGCTCACCTGTAATCCCAGTTAGTCGAGAGGTTGAGGCAGGAGAATTGCTTGAACCCGCAGGTGGAGGTTGCAGTGAGCTGAAATTGCACCACTGTACTCCAGCCTGGGTGACAGAGTGAGACTCCATCTCAAAAAAAAAAAAAAAAAAAGAGAGAGAGAGAAATTGTCCACGTGTCTCACAAGTGATAAATGGGGGAGCAAGGATTTAAACCAGGAATTTCAAACTCCATATTCCACCTCTTGGCACCAAAATTACCAACCAAGAGCCAGTAGCATCCAGGAGGCTCTCGGCCAGCATTTGTAGAAGTAAATCTGCATAATGGTTCTTAGGTATTTGAAGAAAATAAAAATTACAGTTGCGAACTGTCCAGGAGCCTGTCCTAGGTGATCCAATATCTCCTAGACTTAAAATCTGTAGGTTAATTCTAGGTATTTCTGAGAGACACTCAGGTTGTCCAGCACATCAGCTTCTGCAGAACTGTTTCCAGGCCCAAAGGAAGCTCCATGTTGGTCTGGTAGCTAAAACACAGGCAATTTCTCCAGTTAGAGTATATGAGAAAAAAACCATTTTTTTCTGGCTGAGGAAGGTGTCAGACACAAAAGACCAGTGAAGACCGAGAGGTTGTAAGTCACTTAGGATAGAAAGCTGGTGACCCATGTGCCGACCCAGCTGTCACCCTAGCCAGAATGGCAGCCCCTCAAGGGGAATTTTTTACTTGCAGTTCATTTGGAGCAGAGCTCTGGTTCTTCCAGGAAAGCAGTGGCAAGCAGCAGTCCTGGACCTGGTTGAGGGGGCATGGATACAGTTGTGAATGCCACAGGCACTTGGCAGCATGTTATAATGTGTCCTCTCCTTTTTCCAGTGGGAAAAACAGAATGTATGACGTCCTCCAAGAGACCATTGAAAATGATTTCCCAACCTTCCTGGGCAAGATCTTTGCTTTCCTCGCCAATCCAGGCCTGATCATCCCAGCCATCCTGCTGATGTTGTAAGTTAGCCAGGACCCATGGCTCCACCCCGTGAAAACCTCTCCTTGAATTTGAGACTTCCTTGGCAGGTCCCTTTCATCTTGCCTTCTTAGTCTGCACTCCCCAGAAGCAGACTCCATGATGAAGATTCAAGTGCAAGTATTTTATTGGGGAGGGGGTGAGGACTTGAGACAAGGAAGGGAAAGGAAAGTGCATGGTTATCACTGTGAGGATTCTGGGAGGCAGTATGCCTCAGACTTATCCCCTGCTAAGGGCAAAGGATCCGGGGCATTTGTAGACCAGCTCCCAGCGTCATTCATGGGTAAAATAGCTTCAAGGGGTGTGAGTGAGGGGCCCAAGATGAAAGGGAAGCTTCTGGTAACAGAGATGAGAGCACCAGCAAGTGCAAGTCTTTCGGAGCACACTGAAAATTTGGGTGAGCCCTGACATTATCTGCAACAATTCCCACTAAAATGCTCACTAGAAATATCAAAGACCTGTGGGCTCTGAGCCTCTCAGGAAGCTGGACGGTGATTCCGCTTGATCCTGGCTGGGCCCACAGCACTACTCGATTGAGCAGCTTATGCACTGGAACAAGCTGGTTCCTTCATCACTGTCCCCGTCAACAACTGTTAGAGAACAAGTTTGAAAATCTCTGTATCCCCAGCGCCAGCCTAATGCCTAGAGCATAGTACACAAACAGTAAATGCTCAAGGAAGGAACTAGGGAAGAAAAGCAGGAAGCCAGAGTCTTGGATTGGAATTGCTGCCATCAAAAAACGTGCTAGTAAAAATGTTAGCATTTTTCTTTATTTAAAAAAAATATTTTGGCATGCTTTTAAAAAAATTATGAAATATTCCCAGCATACAAATGAGTACAGACAACCATGTACACTATCACAAGATTCAACAGATGTGAATATTTTGCAATATTTACTTCAGGTTTATCTTTCTTCTTAATAGAAATAAAACATTACAGATGCACTTCAAGCCCCACCTAATCCTTTCTTCTTCCCTCCCCAAAGGTAACTATTATTCAGAGTATATTTAATTGTTTCCCTGCATATTTTGTACTTTTCAATCATATGTGTGTATACTACTGTTTCCAGAGTTCTAAACCTTTTCATGAATGACTCACATTACATGCTTTTCCTCAATCAACATTATGTTGGGGGATTTATCCATGTGGATACATGAGCACACGTTTGAAGGCTCTTCTATGTTCCATTGCATGAATAAGCCACAGTTCATTCATTCCTTTGCTTAGAGATAGTTAGGCTGTTTCCAGTTTTCAGCTATTGCAAACTGCACTGCAGCCGGCATTTTGTATATATCTCCTTGCACAATTCTGAGAGTTTCTCTAAGGTGGACATCTAGAAGCAGAATTTTGGGTCATCAGATGTGTTTCTTCAATCTTTTTAGATCTTACAGAATTGCTCTCCAAAGTGGTTGTATTTCCTTTTGACTGTTATTTATAAATTCCAACTCTCTGGTGAAATTCTCCAACTTTCTATTTTCTTGAACATAGTGATTATAATTATTTTTAAAATCCCAGTGTGATATTCCAATCTCTGAACCACCTGGGTGTATTTTTGTTGTCATTTGTTTTCCTCTTGTTTATCATCAGCTCTACTTTTAGCATGGCATGTAATTACCAGATTTCAGACATGTGGATGAAAAATTATAGAGGCTATGAATAATGTTATCTTTCCCCAGGGGGATGGGTTTTTTCCCAGAAAGGCAAATGAAATACTAGGAGATCACTTAATCCTGTCAAGGCTTGATGTTTTAGCTATCTATTATTACATAAGAAACAACCCCCAAAATTGAAAAATAATATTTTATTAATGAATCTGCAATTTCGGTAGGATTCAGCAGGAATCATTCTTTTCCTCTCTACTCAACATCATCTGGGTCAGCTCAGCTGGAGGCTGGAGGGTCCACTTTCAAGATGGTCACTCACATGACTGGCCAGCTGGCACCAGCCATCACCTGGAAACTCAACAAGGGCTATGGACTAGAGGCCTCACTTCCTTCCCACAAGCTGCTTGGGCTTCCTCATAGCATGGTGGCTGAGTTTCAAGAGCAAGCATCCCAAGAGAATGCAGTGGATATACATGGCATCTTTACTTACTCCTGCCATACTCTATTGGAGCAATCACAAAGGGATACCCAGGTTCAAGAGAAAGAAATATAGACTCATCTCTTGATGCAATGGCAAGATTCTAGAAGCACATGTAAGATGGGAGTCATAGTATTGTGGCCATCTTTGGAAAATAGTTTGCCATTGCTAGCTTTGGGCTTTCTCAGGGCTGATTTATTTCAGTTTCACCCTATTTCCAAGACATTAACCTTACTCATACAACGTGATCCTTACTATTGAGCAGTCTTTTAGGGGTCTCAACTGAAAGCCTACAGTGTTTACCAATTCCCTCTTGTGACAGTTACTACAGGACTGAACGAAGGAGGACAAACACAGAAATGAAGACAAAGAAAAAAGGATTTGTTTTAAAGAAGGGGTCAGGGAACTCCATGCTTCTAGTGAGCAAAGGCAGTCTTGAGCTTCTACAGTCCTTCATATTTATTGGGTAGAAAGAGCAGGGAGAAGGAGGTAATGATTGGTCAGCTGTTTGATTGATCACAGGTTCACATCATTGCTAACAGGCCTCAGATGTGCCTAATCACAAGAAACACTGCGCCGGGAGTGTGACTGCCCTCAGCATTCCTTCTGGGCGCCGACATAGTGGTCAGCTTGCCAACATCCTGCATTCATGAGAACAGTTTGCTGTTTACTCATATAGCCTCCAGTGGTATACTGAGTTGATCACGACCCTTATTCTTTCAGCCTCCAACACCCTCCACCTTGGCGGGGCTTGAAACCCATTCTCTTTTCCCAATTCTGCAGTCTTTGCTTATACTCTTTCTCCAGTAGTACTGCTACAGCCACTGTGAAATCTCTGCTCTGCTCTTCAGCCTCCCTGGTGTCATTTTCTTCTGGGCTTCCTGAAGCAATTAAAGAATTGGTCAATCATTTGAGGGCAATATGTACGCAGAGTTTGGCTTATTTATCAGCAATTTGTTCTTCTCTGGGATTCTGTCCCTCAAGTCCCAAAGACTCTGGCAGTAATTAACTCTGACCTGTATCTTCTCCACATTGTAGGATTTCCACTTTCTGCTTGGACTCTGCTTCTGGGTCACAAATTGGAAAATACTCTCAGGGAGAAACCCTGGAGGAATGTAGAGCTCACCTCACATGCTTCCCTTCTCTTAAGCTTCCAGCCCCTTTAGTCTGCCTGTTTTGTCACTCTCCCATGTCTTAAACTACAGTTTTGTAAATTTTGCTCAGCATTTACAGTTGTTTTTCTCTGCAGAGCTGGACCAATACAAGTCCCTCAGTGAAGACCAGAAAAAGAAGTCTTTGCTCTCTTTGTTTATTTGATTTTCCAGAGTCAGGTTGCCTAGCACCAAAACAACAACAAAAATAATCTGTGATCATGTTTGTCAGAAAGAAGACTGGGCATGGTGGCTCACACCTGTAATCCCAGCACTTTGGGAGGCCAAGGCAGGCAGATCACCTGAGGTCAGGAGTTCGAGACAAGCCTGGCCAACATGGTGAAATCCCGTCTCTACTAAAACTACAAAAATCAGCCAGCTGTGGTGGTGTGTGCCTGTAATCCCAGCTACTTGAGAGGCTGAGGCAGGAGAATCACTTGAACTCAGGAGGCAGAGGTTGCAGTGAGCCAAGACCATGCCACTGCACTCCAGCCTGGGCAAGAGAGCAAGACTCTTGTCTCAAAAAAAAAAAAAAAAAAAAAAAAAAAAAGGTCAGAAAAAATTGGCATGCCTATGTTGTTAAGTTTTCCAATCCAAGAATACCATATTCCTTATCATTTGTTCATTTATGTCCCTCAATAATATTTTTAAGTTTTCTTCATAAATTTCATGCACATTTCTTATTAAATATATTCCTCTGCATTTCATCTTTTTGTTTTATACTAAATTAGGATAGTGTTTTCATCACACTTTCTCACTAGTTTTTGTTTTTCTATGTAAATGCTATTTATTTTCTATATATAAATTTTGTATTCAGTCACTGATATACCTAGACTTTGTGTCCCCATCCACATTTCATCTTGAATTGTAATCCCCACAGTCCCCACATTTAAAGGGAGGGACCAGGTGGAGGTAACTGGTTCATAGAGGCAGTTTCCCCCATGCTGTTCTTGTGATAGTGAGTTCTCACAAGATCTGATGGTTTTATAAGGGGCTCTTCCACTTTGCTCGGCACTTCTCCTTCACGCCACTTTGTGAAGAAGGTGCCTTGCTTCCCCTTCACCTTCCACCTGTAAGTTTCCTGAGGCCTCCACAGCGATGCTGAACTGAGTCAATTAAATCTCTTTCCTTTATAAATTACCCAGTCTTGGGTAGTTCTTTAAAGCAGTATGAAAACAGGCTAATACAGTCACCCTACGAGTGTATTGTTTATAATATTTACTCAACCAAAGTTCTTGAATCTTCCAGGTCATTTTCTCATTTGTAAACAATGAAAATGTTATATTTTATTTAATTCTTAGATCTTTTTTTCTCTGTAGGATTAATTAGTAGCTTCCATGGGAAAAACAAGTTAATTCATATTTGGTGATAAAATATATTTTTGTATTTTTCCTGCATTTACAGGGTGGGGAGTGCTTTTAATGTTTTCAGTTAAGCACAGTGCTGCTTTTTTGGAGGGCTGAGATAAGTGTATTCATGAAATAAGGAAGAAAACAACCAGGGAATGTAAGTCATTGTAACATAGGTATAAGAAATCAGGAAATTAGGAAAGTGGAGTAACTTTCCTGATTATTGATTTCTTACAGAAGTTAAAAAAAAAAAAAAGTGACCTCAAAAGGCGGTGGTGAATTTAGGGCCACCACTAGCCCATGTAGTACCTTGTGCAAATTTTTTAAAGGTGCCCACTCCTTCAGACAGAGGTAGGCCCATGCCAAGGGGCACATTTGACAAACAGAATATGGATAGATCTCAGCCAACCGTCACCCCCTTAGTCAGGTGCCTTTTATCCAGTAAACAGCCTGTATAATGGCTATCTATGCCAGAATCTTTTTCCTTTGGTGTAGACCAGGGGTCATCATAGTCCACAAGCTAAATCCAGACCACACTTGATTTTGTTAAATAAAGTTTTATTGGAACACATTCATGCTCATTCATTTATTTATTATCTATGACTGTTTTTCACAAAAAAAGACAAAATTTACTTGTTGTGATAAAGAATGTATTGTCTAGAAAGACTAAAATATTTATTGCCTGGCCCTCTGCAGAAAAAGTTTGCTGACCCCTAATGCAGACAATAAGGTACCACTTTCAAATATGCTTTGAGACTGAATTTAAAACATCTAATCAGTAAGACTTAAAAACTATGACAAATAATAAGTCCAAAAAATATTTAGACGAAGAAGGGATTAGGATTGTAGAAAACAATAAATATTGAACTTGAGCCTTGATAAATTCAAGGCTCAGGAAAAGGAGTTGATGGCATTGGATAGAACTTTTAGAGTTGTTCAAGTCTACTATTTTCTGGTTGACCTTCTAATTGTTTCTATTACCGAAGGTAAAGCATTGAATTTCCAACTATTATTATTGGATTGTCCATTATCTCTCCCTTAAATTCTGTTTTTCCTTCATATGTTTTAAGGCTGTGTTGTTAGGTGCATATATGTTTTTACTTGTTACATTTTCTTGATGAAATGACCCTTTCACAATTAAAAAACAATCCCATTTGTCTCTATTTTTGCCTTAATATGTTTCCCAACCTTTTACTTTCAATCTATTTTTACCTTAAAAATCTGAAGTGTGCCTTTTTAGGCTGGGTGTGGTGGCTCATGCCTGTAATACCAGCACTTTGGGAGGCAGGAAGATTGCTTGAGCCCAGGAGTTTGATACCAGGCTGGGCAACATGGCAAGACCCATCTCTACAAAAACTTTAAAAATTAACTGAGTGTGGTGGCACGTGCCTGTAGTTCCAGCTACTTGGCAGGTGACCAAGGTGGAGGATTGCTTGAACCGAAAAGGTTGAGGCTGCAGTGAACCATGTTTGTGCCACTGCATTCCAGCCTGGGTGACAGTGAGACCTTCTCGCTAAATAAAATAAAATATAGTGTGCTTCTTTGGAACAGCATATAGCTGAAGCATAGTGTTTATCCATTCTGTCACTCTGTGCTTTTTATATGGAGTGTTTGATTCATTTACATTTAATTACCAATAAGTTAGCATTTATGTCTGCTGTTTTCCATATGTCTTACGTATTTTTGTTATTTTATTCCTCCATTACTGCCTTCTTTTGGGTTAAAGATTTTAGTATATAATTTTAGTTCCCTTGTCATTTCTTTTACTATATTTTGTTTTAGTTATTTTCTTAGTGATTGCCCTGGAGATTGCAATTAATATCTTATAACAAACTACTTTGGATTAATACCAACTTAATTATAATAGTATACAAAAACTTTGTTCCTATACAACTTCATTTCCTCCTCTCTCCTTCAGGTTGTTTCTGCCATACAAATTTCATCTTTATACATTTTATGCCAACTAAATAGTTACAAAGACTATATTGATATTAGCTTTTATATTAACCCATGTAGTTACCTTTACGAGTGCTCTTATTTCTTCATGTAGATTCAGGTTACTGTCTAGTGTCCTTTCGTTTTAACCTAAAGAGCTCCCTCTAGCATTTCTTACAGAGTAGGTCCGCTAGTGATTACTTCTCTTAGTTTTTATCTGGGAATGACTTAATTTCTCCTTCATTCTTGAAGAACAGTTTTGCTGGATTTAGAATTTTTGGTTTATAGTCTTTCTCTTTCAATCTTTCAAATATGTCATCCCACTGCCATTTGGCCTCCAAGGTTTATATGGAAAAACAATGGACTGTTAATCTTTCTGAGGCTTTCTTGTATATGATTATTTGTTTCTCTCTTTCAGGATTCTCTCTTTCAGGATTCTCTCTTTGACTATGGCTTTTTTTTTTTTTTTTAATTTGCTATGATATGTCTAGGAATAGATCTGAGTTTATCCTGAATGGAATTTGTTGAGTTTCCTGTGTAAATTAATATTTTTTTCATCATATTTGGGGATGAAATCTGATTAAAATAGTCATTATTTACTCAAATATTCTTTCTGACCCTTTCTGTCTTTCCTCTCCTCCTCAGATTCCCATTAGGCATGTGTTGATACATTTGATGTTGTCCCATAGGCTCTGTTATTTTACCTCATTCTTTTTTCTTTCTGTTCCTCAGACTGGATAATCTCAATTGATCTATTTTGAAGTTCGTTGATATTTTTTTTTTTCCCAAGACAGTATCTCACTCTGTCACCCAGGCTAGAGTGCAGTGGTACAATCTCGGCTCACTGCAGCCTCCACCTCCCAGGCTCCAGCAATTCTCCTGCCTCAGCCTCTTGAGTAGCTGGGATTACACGCGTGCACCACCACACCTGGCTAATTTTTGTATTTTTAGTAGAGATGGGTTTCACTATGTTGGCCAGGCTGGTTCTTTCTTCTGTCAACTCAGATATGTTGGGAACCTCCAGGAAATTTATTATTCAGTTATTGTAGATTTCAACGCTAGAATTTCTATTTGGTTATTTATTTCTTTTTGCTAAAATTCTTTATTTGGTGAGACACCATTTTGATACTTTCAGTTCTTTAGAAATGGTTTTCTATAATTCTTTGATCATATTCTTTGATCGTATTTAACATAACTGATTTAAAGTCTTTGTCTCTTAAATGCAGCATTGAGGTTTCCTCAGGAATGGTTTCTATTGACTACTTTTCCCCTTGTGTATGGGCCAGACTTTCTTTTTTCTTTGTATGTCTTACTAGTGTTTTTTGTTTGTTTGTTTTTTGAGACAGAGTCTCGCTCTGTTGCCCAGGCTGGAGTGCAGTGGCAAGATCTCGGCTCACTGCAACCTCCACCTCCTGGGCTCAAGTGATTCTCCTGCCCCAGCCTCCCGAGTAGCTGGGATTACAGGCACCTGCCACTATGTCAAGCTAATGTTTTGTATTTTTAGTAGAGACGGGGTTTCACCATGTTGGCCAGGTTGGTCTTGAACTCCTGACTTCATGATTCGCCCACCTCAGCCTCCCAAAGTTCTGGGATTACAGGCGTAAGCCACTGCACCCAGCCATGTCTTACTAGTTTTTGTTGAAAACTGGTTATCTTAAATAATATTATATGGCAGCCATGGAAATCAGGTTCTCCTCCCTTCCATGCATTTGTTGTTGTTGCTGTTTGTTGTTACAATTGTTGCTGTTATTCTTGTTTGGTAGCTTTTCTGAACTAATTATGTAAAGTCTGTTTTCTTTGTTGTGTGTGGCCACTAAAGTCTGTGCTCTGTTAGCTTAGTAGTCACCTACTGACTGGACAGACATTTTCTTACATGTCTGGAACCAGTAAGACTCCCAGTATTTCCCAAGAGGCTCTGTGTATGTACTGGGGTATGCCTTCAACATTCAACCAGGCAGTTTACAACTCTACCTTAGCTCTCACTGACTGCTTGTTCAGAGACTCAAGGTTACCAGAGGTGAGAGCTTAGGGCCTTCTCAAGTCGTTCTTGGACATATAAACAGCCCTGGACAGGCACAGAGCCTTACACATCATGCACACAGTTCTCTAGATTCCCAGGAATAGTTGAAAGTGTTTTAAAGCCCCCATTGGACATCTCATTCCCCAGTTCTCCTTTTAAGCTTTTTGGTTAGCCTATTGTTTGCCCCAGCTGTCATGCAACACTTCGCACAGCCATGATGTTCAACAATTGCCTCTGATTGCTTTTGCCAATCTCAGAGAAAAGGTTGTTCACACTGATTGGGCTCTGAGCCAGGTTAAATAAAGATAGCCTTGTGAGTAGTATCAACCACTGGATAAATCAAATAATGACAATTCTCTGGGTATGAGAATTTTAAGGTGCTCCAAATCCATTCTACCTCCTCCAGTGACTGCCAGGCTACTGATTTTCACCAAAATTTTGGGCTGTTGGTTTTCAAACCTACTACAGAACTGGGTAGGAGAGGGGATACAAGGCAACTTAGATGCTGCAAAACTCACTGTTCTGAGATTTAGCTGTTTTCCTTGAAAAGGTCGGGCGCAGTAGCTCACACCTATAATCCCAGCACTTTGCAAGGCCAAGGCAGGCAAATCACAAGGTCAGGAGTTTGAGACCAGCCTGGTCAACACGGTGAAACCCCGTCCCTACTAAAAATACAAAAAATTAGCTGTGTGTGGTATTGGGCACCTGTAATCCCAGCTACTTGGGAGGCTGAGGCAGGAGAATTGCTTGAACCCGGGAGGCAAAGGTTGCAGTGAGTCAAGATTGCGCCACTGTACTCCAGCCTGGGCGACAGTGCGAGACTCTAAAAAAAAAAAAAAGAAAAGAAAAGAAAAGAAAAGACACTCCCTAGATTTGCTGCAAACGTTTGGTTAATTTTGAGTTCTGAAAAAAATTGATTCTGACTATTTTTGCTGGCATTCTCATTGCTTTTAAGGAAGAGAGGATTTTCAGAGATCTTTGCCAATTTGCTGACATCCAATTGAACTTTAGTTTAGCCTTGGGTGGGCTTAAAGACTTTGTTAAAACCTTCCCTCTTTGACTATCATCTTTGTTGTTCCTTAGAAATATCTCTTTGTCTCTGTCTGTTTATGGTTTGAAATTCCCAAAAAGTATTTCAAGAAATGGCTGCTCCCCATCAGGGCTCTCTTCAGCTCCAGGTAGTCTGATGAAACCAGACTCCCCCAACCCTGTGGTCAGTTTCCTGGCTGCTGCTCAAGGGCTGCCAGCCTGAAGGGGAACTGGAGCTCCACACTCTGCAATGGTGCCTCTCCTTCAGCACCCTCTCTGGTAGCTTACTGGAAATGAACATGGACTCACAGAGATTCCAGGGCCCTAAGGGGGCCGGAGTGAATGTAGAATCCTTTCATTTGTTCATCTATTCATGTAACACCCATTCTTGAAGGTCTGCTCTGTGCCCTGAATACTGTCATTGCCAACAGCAAACACTTGCATGTTGTTTTATATCCTTGATTTCCAATTTCCTCTGCTGCTGGCATGACAGGGATGACATGATAGTGACCACTTGGATTGCCCTGTGCCCTCCTGGAGAAATTCTGAAACCCAGACACCAAACCTGACCCCGAAGGCACCAAAGAGAAATGCTAAACTTGTAAACAACCTTGGGAGGTACACAGCCACCCATGAGCATTTTATCCACCATTTGCTGGGCATGTGATCTTGAGCCAGACAAGTCACCTCTCTGACCTCTGATTCCTCCCTTAAAAAAATGGGCTAATTAGGTGAATGGCAAGGCCTGGCCCAGAGTAACAGCCTTACATAACAGAAATTGGTCTCTTCACCTGTCCTTTATTCTTTCCTCCCCTCGCTCACAGTTCTCTGAATCCTTGCTTCAGAAGGCTCACTTGACAGCCTCTGACCTACGCCCTGCCCCAAGGACCATGGGACTCCTCTTCTCTGGCTGGAGAAGGCTCACAGGCTCTACTGAGGCAGCTATGGATGGCCTAGCCCTGAGAGGGAAGGTTCTGGAGACCAAAGCTGGAGCAGCTGAGGCTTGAAAGTCATGGAGAAAATCTACTAATAAGGATGGACATTAAAAGCTAGCAGATAATAGGCTGGCAAAGCATCCACTCCAGGTGGCACCCTGGCTTTTGTGTGTCCTGTGTAGTCATAACCCCAGATCTTAGGTCCTGTGAAAAGAAAGCCTGGGCTGCAGCCTTAAAGGACACCCAGACATCCAGCAAGCCTATGGGGGCTGGACTCTAAAACCCATAAGGTCAGGGCCAGACATGCTAGGGCACTTTGAGCAGGAGGCCTTCAGAGCGTCTGCAATTGTGCTTCTTAGGCAAACTTAGAACAGGTCTCTTAACACCTCTACCTCTCCCCTCTCAGGACTTGAAAACTGTAGAAAAAGTACTGGTTTCCAATGTGGGCTGCAAAGAGTACTAATGGGTGGGATGACCTTGGCAAATTATTTAACCTCACTGAGTCCCAGGACCCAGGTCTTTAAACATAGAAGTCTACTCTCTGCTTCACGGTATTTTTATCAAAGTCAATGAGATGGGGTGGGGTGGGGGTGGAGTGTGCACGTGGCACAGAGCTTGGCACAAGGCAGGTGCACAGGAAATGTGACCAGCTTCTTCTGCAGTCAGTAAACCCTGCCACCCTCTGACCACCTCAGATTTCCCAGAAGAGGGATGATTCCTCCAGCCAACCTTTACTGAGCACTCTCAGAGCTAGAGCTATATAGTCATGCCCATGCGTAATGAAATAGAGAGGATGCAGGGGCATCCAGGACCTTCTCCACACTGAGAAAAGAAGATGGTAGGACACCTACCCTCTACCTAAAGCCTCAGTAACTATTCCAGGAATCCTGCCTTGATTCTCCAAGAAAGGTGCCCAGCTCCTGTCATCTGCCAAGATCACAGGACCACAGGAGGCATGCTTTTCTCTTGCAGCTTGGCCATTTACTACCTGAACTCAGTTTCCAAAAGCCTTTCCCGAGCTAATGCCCAGCTGAGGAAGAAAATCCAAGCGGTGAGTCTGTTGGAAGTTTCCTCCTGGAGGGTAAAAAGAAATCACGTTTATGGTTTTTGCTAATTTGCTGTGTGAGCCCAGCTGTGTTATCTAAATGGCTTTTTTCTAAACCAAATACCAAAATATCTGTATCATAGCAAGTAGCCTTGTGAGATTCAACAGCATGCATTTATATTATTGAGGCTATTTGGTGATTTGTGACAATAATGACTTAAATGTCGACGGGCTGCTATAGAACAGGAGAAATTCAGTGAGTTCAACCAACGCCCATACAGAAAAAGCCAGTACCCACAGTAATACCTACAGATTCAAGTGAATATTTAAATACTAAAAGAAATGTTGTCAAAATGACGTATTTCTTGTGCCCTTTAGCCTGAAAGATCTCCTGAGTCTCCTTCACACGTGGGAAGCCTGTCTCAACATCCCAGCTGATACCCTACTTCTGACTGCTCTCTCCTAACACACACACATACTCCCTAAAATTCAGACCCTAACCCTCCCTAAGCCCTTGCTTTCTCTGCCTCTTCCGGAATGAATCTCATCTGTCTTGCTACTGGTCCCCCCATCCACACCTTCTTCTGGATTTTTGTTTGTTTGTTTTTGTTTTTTAGATGGAGTCTCGCTCTGTCACCAGGCTGGAGTGCAGTGGCACGATCTCAGCTCACTGCAACCTCCACCTCCCAGGTTCAAGTGATTCTCCTGCCTTGGCCTCCCAAATAGCTGGGACTACAGGCATGTACCACCACACCCAGCTAATTTTTGTATTTTTAGTAGAGATGGGGTTTCAACATGTTGGCCAGGATGGTCTCCATATCTTGACCTCGTGATCCAGCCGCCTCAGCCTCCCAAAGTGCTGGGATTACAGGCATGAGCCACCGTGCCAAGCCCCTTCTTCTGTTAATCTCGCTGGGCTCCTGCCCAGGTACAAAAAACCACTGAAATAGAGGATTGGAAGGGTTGCTGTCCTCTGGCCACATGTTCCTTCAATAGCTGTGCGAATCTGAGAGCCTCAGGCTGCCCTCTCCAGTCAGTTGTGAGGACCAGTAACAGGCAGTTTAAGGTAGTTACCAAGAACTGAAAACAGGCCAGGCATGGTGGCTCACACCTGTAATCCCAGCACTTTGTGAGGCCGAGGCCGGTGGATCACCTGAAGTCAGGAGTTGAAGACCAGCCGGGCCAACATGGTGAACCTGTTTCTACTAAAAATGCAAAAATTAGCCAGGTATGGTGGCACACACCTGTAATCCCAGTTACTTGAGAGGCTGAGGGCCGAAGAATCGCTTGAACCCAGAAGGCAAAGGTTGCAGTGACCCAAGTTCATGCCGCTGCACTCCAGCCTGGGCAACAGAGCGAGACTCTGTCTCAAAAAAAAAAAAAAAAAAAAAAAAATCACTCTCAGCACCTCTGAGCCTCAAATACCCATTTCCTGCGCCAGGACCAACAGTTCATTATTTTGTGCAGCTCCGTGAAGTTGAGAAGAGCCACAAATCTGTGAAAGGCAAAGCCACAGCCAGAGATTCAGGGGACACACCTAAAAGCAGCTCCAAAAATGCCACCCAGCTCCAACTCACCAAGGAAGGTAAGCTCTTTGTCATGATGATTACGTTTTACAAGGTCACATGGAAAGGTGTAAAAAGCCTATGAAACAGTGTGAAATCAGACTGTTCTGGGATTGAAATCAGAATCCTAACAATTATTAGCTGATGAAGTTGGGCAGGTGAATATAGGGGTCAATCATAGCACCTGCCTCATGGGATGGTGAAGATGAGATGAAATCATGCATGTAAAGTGCCTACCAGAATTCCTGGCACAGAGAATGAGCCAGTGAATACCAGCTGGCAGTAGTGCCGTCATACACCCCTTAATAACATTTGGATCAACCATGGAACACATATACAGCGGCCCCATAAGATTATAATGGAGCTGAAAAATTCCTATTGCCAAGTGACGTAACTGTCAACATTGTAACAAAACACATTACTCATGTCTTTGTTGTTTTTTTTTTTTTTGAGGCGGAGTCTCGCTCTGTGGCCCAGGCTGGAGTGCAGTGGCCAGATCTCAGCTCACTGCAAGCTCCGCCTCCCGGGTTTACGCCATTCTCCTACCTCAGCCTCCCCAGTAGCTGGGACTACAGGCACCCGCCACCTCGCCCAGCTAGTTTTTTGTATTTTTTAGTAGAGACAGGGTTTCACCGGGTTAGCCAGGATGGTCTCGATCTCCTGACCTCGTGATCCGCCCGTCTCGGCCTCCCAAAGTGCTGGGATTACAAGCTTGAGCCACTACGCCCGGCCTCATGTCTTTGTTGTGAGCTGATGTAAACAAGCCTACTGAACTGCCAGTTACATAAAAGTCTAGGCCAGGCCCGGTGGCTCAAGCCTGTAATTCCAGCACTTTGGGAGGCTGAGGTGGGCGGATTACGAGGTCAGGAGATCAAGACCACCCTGGCTGAAACAGTGAAACCCCATCTCTACTAAAAATACAAAAAATTAGCCGGGCGTGGTGGCGGGCGCCTGTAGTCCCAGCTGCTGGGGAGGCTGAGGCAGAAGAATGGCGTGAACCCGGGAGGCAGAGCTTGCAGTGAGCTAAGATTGCGCCACTGCACTCCAGCCTGGGCGACAGAGCAAGACTGCGTCT